CATCCAAAACTACCCATATATTTTCATCTCTCTCATATAAAAAACAAGAATCAAGATATTAGAAAACTTCAAAAATATGAATTATGATCTAGAAATTCGGAGCAAATAAACATGGTTTGTGGAAGACAAGAGATGTGATTTTATTTTAATTTTTAAGAGATTTTTTTTCACTATTGGAGATGAAGATAAAGGATTTACATGGTTTTTTTTTTCAAATAAAAACCCCAACATAACAACTACACTAAAAAAATAATATAATTTTGGATGGTGTTATAAAATAAATAGAAATAATAGGAGAATTGAAGGAAAGTATGACAAGAAAATGAAATCATTATAATGTGAATAGAAGTGATAAGAACTTCAAAGTTTCTCTTATTCTCTTTAGAAAACTTGTACACCAACTAATGAATAACCAAGCCTATTTATAGGCTTCAAATTTGAGAAGATAATTGAAAGGGACTATGAATAATCAATTGTATTATCATTTCAATTTCTCATATTGAATGATGAATTGAATCATATTAAGAATCATGAGTAATGGGGATATGAAAAGTAGATGAACATGATGGAGGACATTCATTGTTTCATAACACTCCCCTTGAATATCCATTAGACAAAGAACATGCCTCATTAAAACCTTACTAGGAAAAAACCCAATGGAAAAAAATCCTATCGAAGGAAAAAGAGTACAATATTCCTTATACACATTAATCTCAATATTGGCCTCCCTCTGTTGAAAACATCATTTGAGATCTCTAAGACGATGTATTTCAATCTTGTGAATCATATTTTCGAAAATTATGGTAGGTAATGCTTTAGCAAATAAATCCGTTGGAATGTCACTTTGATGTATTCTTCCTTTAATGAGATTATGCAAGCGACATTATCTTCATATGATATTGTTGGAACTTTTTTTGTTAATAGATAAACCGTATGTCTCTCGAATATGATGGATCGTTGATCTTAGCCAAACACATTCTCGACTTGCCTCGTGAATTAATATTTACGCATGATTTGAAGATGTGGCGGCTATAGTTTGCTTTATAGAACGTCAAAATATATTTGTATCTCCATATGTAAATATATAATCGGTTATGATCGAGCTTTGTGTAAATCGGATAAATAACATGCATTTGCATAACTAATTAATCTTGTCGTTGATTTATTGGAGTAATATAAGCCTATATCAATTATTCCTCAAAGATAACGTAATATATATTTAACTTTATTTCAATGTCTCCGTATTGAAACAAAACCATGACTTGCTAATAAATTTATAAAAAAGACTATATCATGTTGAGTATTATTAGTAAGTTATATCAATGCACTAGTGGCACTAAGATATGGTACTTCGGGACCAAATAGTTCTTCGTTATCTTCTCGAGGTCGAAAATGATCTTTTTGGATATCAAGTGAATGAACTACCATTGGTTTAGTCAATGAATAATCTTTATATAAAATCATTATAGAACTTTTTTCTATATAAATTGATTGATGAATAAAAGTCTCATTCTCCGAGTTCTCGAACTACGAGTTGAGATAACATTTTTTTCCTAAGGTATTCACATCAAATTCTCTTTGTTAGATAACTTATAGCACTTGGAATCTCTTCGGGAGTTCTAATAATATTTAAGTCATCAATATATACAACAAATCCCTTTTTCAAATAAAAATAAATGAACAAATAGGGTTTTTTTTATAATTTTATTTCAATAAATAATCATTGAAGCGATTATATCACATGCACACGAGTCGGTAATAAATAGTAGATATAAAAATAAAATATAAAAAAGTATAATATAAATTGAATTTTTAAAAACTAAAATAATAAAAAAAAACTAAAATAATCCTAATGGAGATCTCTATAATCTAATTGAATTCTTTTTTAAGAATATGTATTACATGCTTCTAGCATGCTAAGTCCTTCTAGGACTTTCATACCGATATCATTTCAAATAAACAAATAAACTATGATCACATTCATTAATTACATGCATATGAATGTTTTTTATATATTTTACTAGGTTAATGAGATAATAAAATATAATTACATCCATTATAAGAGAATATGTCTCCTCATAGTCAATGTCGGTTATTTGCAAAAACTCTTGTGTTATAAGTCTTGCTTTGTATATCATAATCTCATCTTTCTTATTTTTTTTATTTATAAAAATACTCATTTATATCCTACTAGCTTACCATCTTCGAGTGTTTTAGCTATGGGTTCAAAAAATTACTTTTTTATAAGAAAACATAATTATGTTTAGATTGTTTTTTTTTTCATTAAACCAACCATCTTTATGTCGATATTCTTTAATAAATTTTGGCTTAGGATCCTTATTATCATTCAAAATATCAATTGCAATATTACATGCAAAAATCTTATCAATATATGTTTCTTTTTGGTCCTATTTTCTCCCTGTATTGACATAATTTATCAAATCTCTTGATTTTCTCAAGCATTTGAACTTCTTCTAAAAGCATATTATCATAAATATCTTGGACCGTTTTGTAAATATTTTCATTTATATGTTCATTTTGCCCTTTCCTTTTAGGGATTTTTATCTTTAAAATCGATCGGTCTTCCACGCTTCGGGCATACTTTAGATTCATTAGCTATAATATTAATAGACTATCCTTCTAGAAAATCAATTCTAATAGAAGCATTCTCAATGGGGACATGCATTTTAGTTACTCTTTTAGGATATAAGAATGCATCTAGTAGTTGGTTTGTAATACCTTGTAAATGAATTATATTTTGAACTTCTAGTTCACATTGTTTTATACCAAATTGATATAAAGATAGATTATTCTATGTAATCTCTTTTTTTTAATATTTTTAACTCGCTTATTTTGTTTATACTCTCCCCTTAATGTTGAAAAAACTATTTCATCAAAATGACAATCGATAAATCGAGCCGTAAAAATACCTCTTGTTCATAAATCAAGAGATTGAATTATCGAAGAGGATTCAAATCCAACATATATTTCCAATCTCTTTTAAGTACCCATTTTATTTCATTATGGAAGAGCACTATAGATATACATTGCAACACTAAAAAAATCTTAAATAAGAAATATTTAGCTCATAACCATAAATCAATTGAAGAGGAGAGAATTTCGATAACTTATAGGTCCGATACAAATAAGTATTGCTTGCATGTAAGATTACATGTCCCCAAACATAAACAAAGAGTTTTATTTTTAGATAAAGGTTTAGCTATTAGTTGGAATCTTTCGATAAATAATTTTGCTAAACTTTTCCGAGTATGAACATGAGCAACGAGATGTTCAACCTTTATTCTAATAGCCAATCAATAATAATTTAATACTTGAGAAATAAATTCACCGGTATTATCAAGGTGATTTGTTTTAATGGCTTAATCTAAAAATTATGTTCAAAATTAAATTATTTGGTAGCAATCTCGAAAACGTCGGGTTTCGAGTACATAATAAGCATATGTGTGACCATCTTATGGATGCGGTTATTAAATTTGTAAAACATTTAAATAGTCCACATGGTGGATGAATTGATCCACATATATCATCTTGAATACATTCTAAAAATACTGAAGATTTAGTCTCAATTTTGCTTGGTGATGGCTTAATCAAGAATTTACCTTGACAACATGCAGAACATGAAAATTCATTAAATTGAAGAATCTTCCGGCTCTTCGATAGATGTTCATATGAAGTTTTAATAATTTTTTCGCATCATAAAAGACCCAAGATAATACTACCGGTCATGTCACATAATAAAAGTATTTGAATTAGTGAACTTACGGTTTACTATAACATTTGTTTCAATCATTCCAATATTCATAATAAAGACTAGAAGAGAAAGCAGATAAATTTTTTAATACATATTTTTTATCCAATATAATGATTATAATATACAAGTATTTACATTTGCTATCTTGATATGATATCAATTTAGATGAATATTTGTGAAACTCAATAAATTTCTATGAGACTTTGAAGAGAATAGTACATCATTTATAATAAATTTATCTTTTCGGATAATAATATATTTGCTCTTTTGAAGCCTTTAAATTATGTCACTTCAAGTAATAATATATCGACTCTTCTAGAGTCGTTAAACGTTATCTCTTCAAGTAATAATATATTCACTCTTACAGAGCTTCAAAAATTTATCTCTTCAAATCATAATATAATGACTTTTTTAAAGTCTTTAAAATTTATCTCTTTAGATAATAATCTAATCACTTTTCTAAAACTTTTTATCAGATTGATATTATCATATATAAAATAAATAAATAAATATATTTCTCATAAATATAAATAAATAAATAATAAAATAAAATAAATTTATGACCATCACTGAATGATGTGTAAGTGGATATTACGGGGTACATCCAAAAGCTCTAAAACAGGGACGATCTTAAAATCATTAGAATCCGGTCCAAAAACAATTTCCTTTGCAGCGCGAATAAATATAAATAAAATGGCAAAGGCGGGGTCAAAACCCTAGAAGTCGGAATCGAAAAAAACACTACACACGGATACAGAGACAGAGAGGACGGAATCTGCAAAAAAGTCACACTGACTTCACCGTCTCTCCCTTTGAAACTTTCACTTTCCAGGTACCAAACCAATACGAAACTATACGATATTGCCTTTCAATTTCTCCTATTCAATTCACCTCTGTTTGCCTTAATTGTTTGATTTGTCTGTAATTTAGGGTTTTACTTATTGATTTGGTCAGATCTAGCGCTTAATTGACTGCCTTTGTTAAAGTTATTCTCTTTAAAAAGTTTTATTGGGTTTCAATTCTTTTTCTTTTTATTCTTTTTTCAAGAATTCATACTTTCTTGTGAAAGTTTGTTTGTTTTTTTTTGCGATTTATGAATTTTTGAATTATGGGTCGAAGTTCTTTCGATGCATAAAGCTGTGTTTTTTGTTTCTAGAATTTTCATTACTGATGGATTATATTGTGTCTTTTTTGATTGGTTGGTGTAGATACTGGTTTGTTGATCGGAATGGCAGGTCAGAGGAATAGTTACGGTAAGCGGGCTCATTCGCAGTCGGATCATGATATTGGGACAAATAAGAGAAGAAATTCTGGTGATGATAGAGAACGTTTTGTTATCGATTCTCAGGATACTGTATATCGTTATTTGTGCCCGGCTAGGAAGATTGGGAGCATAATAGGAAGGGGAGGGGAGATTGTTAAGCAGTTAAGGATAGACACTAAGTCAAAGATTAGGGTTGGTGAAACAGTGCCGGGTTGTGAAGAACGTGTTGTTACCATCTATAGTCCGAGTGACGAGACTAATGAATATGAAGATAGTGGTAATTACATTTCTCCTGCTCAGGATGCTCTGTTCAGGGTACATGATAAGGTTATTGCAGAGGATTTGCAAGTTGACGAGGACTCTGAAGAAAGTCAACAAGTCACCGCTAAGCTTCTTGTACCTTCTGATCAGATAGGATGTATTATTGGGAAAGGTGGGCAGATAGTTCAGAACATACGCAGTGAGACTGGTGCAGTTATCCGCATTCTTAAGGATGAGCATTTGCCTCCTTGTGCGTTAAGCTCGGATGAGCTTGTACAGGTATTTGTTCTTTTGCTTTTCTTTTTTTGATGCCTGCCCTTGTTCAATGTCTGTTTTTGCCCTAAAAAAAAAAAAAAATTTCGCTTCATTTTTTTCTTAGTTTTGAACTTGTTTAAGGGGAGACAATTAGGGTTATCAGACCAAAAACAACCTGTTTTTCTGATTGTGACTAGTGATTTTTATCTGGTTTTGGTTTAATTTTTCCTTTTTTATCATCTGATTCCCTTCTCTTTCATTTTGGGGTAGGGTTTTCTTTCTTGGACTTTTTAATGATGTTTGGAGACGTGTTATCTGATATCACTTGCTTAGCAATGTGTTTGATCCTTTTTATCCTTGTCAAGTATGCATTCCTTGAATTTGAGAGTACAGACTCTGCTTTGTGCAATGAATGGGGCCTCTTTAATTTTTCCCATTTTTTTCTCATATAATTGTTGTTACTTGTGGCCAGATTTCTGGTGAAGCTGCAGTTGTCAAAAAAGCTTTATTACAAATAGCATCTCGCCTTCATGATAATCCATCGCGCTCTCAACACTTGCTTGTTTCTGCTGTTCCAAATGTGTACTCTTCTGTCGGTTCACTGGTAGGTCCATCTGCGGCTGCCCCAATTGTTGGAATTGCTCCTCTGATGGGTCCTTATGGAGGTTTCAAAGGCGATACTGGAGACTGGTCTCGCTCGTTGTATTCAGCTCCAAGAGATGAGCTTGCTTCAAAAGAATTTTCTCTTCGTATGGTTTGTCCAACTGCAAATATAGGTGCTGTAATTGGGAAAGGTGGTACCATCATCAATCAGATCAGACAAGAGTCTGGAGCAACAATCAAAGTTGATAGTTCAGCTGCTGAAGGAGATGATTGCTTGATAGCTATTTCAGCTAAGGAGGTATACTTGTATATTCTGTTAAATCCTTTTCAGGTGTCTATGGAGTTCCATCTTCAGTGGTTTTGATGATTTTCTAATTGTTCTATGTCAGATCTATGATGACCAATATTCTCCAACAATAGAAGCAGCCTTACGTTTGCAACCTAGATGTAGTGAGAAAATGGAAAGAGATTCAGGTCTTTTCTCATTTACAACTCGTCTACTTGTGCCCTCCTCTCGTATTGGTTGCCTTCTTGGTAAAGGAGGAGTGATTATAGATGAGATGAGGAAACTTACCAAAGCTGTTATTCGGATACCTAGAAAGGACAAGCTTCCTAAAGTTGCATCAGATGATGATGAGATGGTGCAGGTAAGGCATATCTCCAATGGTTTTTGGCTTTAAATTTTTTGTATGGTTTTTCTGAGCTTGTGGCTCATGTTCCTCGAGCTAATGTAACATTGAGATTGGACTTATTATTTTTTAATGACAAGATTTCTGGAGACCTGGACATTGCCAAGGATGCTCTAATACAAATAAGCCGACGGTTAAGAGCAAATGTTTTTGATAGGGAAGGTGCAATGTCTGCAATTCTACCAGTTTTGCCATACCTTCCTGTCTCAACAGATGGTTCAGAGGGTTTAAATTATGACAGTAGAGATGGTAAAAGACATGGGCGTGGGACTTCTTATGCTGTTGGTTATGGCTCAAGTGATTATGCTGTTGGTGACAGTTATGGTAGCTATGGTAGCGCACAGGTATTCTGTTTGTAGTTGTATGATTACATAGCACATGTGTATATTTCTAGACTTGCTGCATATTGAGGGGATGGTTTACTTTTTCTTCCTGTTAGCCTTTTTTCATATATTGAACATGCATTGCTATTTGATATGGAAAATGATGAAGCTCGAAATTTGCCAATATCTATTATTCATACCTGGGCATTTTGCAAGTTATTGTTTGGCTTGAATAGTGATTGTTCATATCTTTTGCAGATTAGTGCTAGTGGAGGTCCATATGGAGCCTATGGAAGTTATTCTTCAGGTCGCACTGGTACTTCTGGGTAAGACATAATTCTTCCTGTGTCATTGTTTGATGCTTGTTTAAATATTTATTAACTTAACTGGTTTCTATTCTGGACTAGATGCTAGAGGTTAAAGATGGTGTAAATTTTTATCCTTTGTGGACTGGAAACCAGCCTTCTAATTAGATGCCACATGTTCAGTTGAACTGTCCTGTTGCTTAATTCAAGTTGTTTGTGTTTTGCATTTATGTGTCCTAGGAGTTTTATTGTGCAAGTTATGCACTCACATTCTTTGGGTAATGTTGCTGTAGAAATCCTAACTAGCAACTTCATCCATTGTCAGGTTATCTGGCCAGGCCCCTGTTTCTCGACGCAAAAGCTATTACTAGAATTTGATGATGGCTACTGCAGGTAGACTGGTTTTCCTTTGTATTTTCTGTCTATGCAGATGAGTGGAAATTTCCACTGATAAAGGCCAATCACATACTAGCATGTGATAGTTTCATATCATAACCTATCCAATCTCCCTCTGTATAGGATTCTGATGCACTTATTGACCTTTGCTTCCTCTCCCTTCCCATCAAAACAGCTGAGATCCACGAAGCCTGAAGCCAGCCTACTGCCTCTTTTGATGAAGCCTACTGCCTAAACTGAAGACCAGATGTACTGGGATTTGATACACACTTGGCCCACCTTGACGATCTCACCTAGAAGAACCAAAAATAATTGGAGATCCTGATATTGACTAAAAACTTGTCATGTCCCTGACAACAAATTTACCAAGCTCTAAGAACCTCTTTAGTGGCACGCCTTTATTGTTTTTGGGTAGTGGATCATCTCTTTTAATTACCAAGACCATGTTTCATCCATCGTTTGGCCATTGTATTCCTTGCATCCTTTGGCAGTTGTATTAATAGTAACTGGATTTTATTTCCTGCAGTTCTCTGCTACACCGTTTGGGTTTGATGTTTGAATTTATGCTGGATTTGATAATTGGAAACTGTTTAGTTGGTCTGCAATGTTGAGACCTCTAATATTAACTGAATTGCAGGGTCTACATTGGCCTCTTGAATCCTCAAAGGCGGGCAGTAAGACGTGTGTTGCTATAATTCTTAGCTGGGATGTCTATATGGATGGATTTTATATGACAACTTTTTCGAAAATACGTTTGTTTAAGATGCTACAAACCTGATTAAAGCCGGAAGCTAGATTTTTTTAGTGCATGCATTTTATATCAATAAAGTTATTGAATCTGTGCCTTCATTATGTACTTGGATGTTCAAATGCCCCCTTGACTTGATTATACAGTTCGCCCTGCTAGTTATTTGCATGCTTCAAAGAAGTTGCTGTATCTGGCTGATTTATTGGTTTGATTTGTATTTGTGTACTTCAACACATAATTTTGTTTATAGTGATGATTTTTGTGAATGAAGAACTAAAGAAGAGAATTTATTGAAGGCGCATATCATGGACTTGTGTTGTATGTCCTGTACTGTCCGGGTAAGTTTGGAGGTGGAGGTGTTACATGAAATATGAACAGTAATTTACTGTTGCTTGTATGCTGAAGGTGAGTTTTTAACTGCCCTATTTAGTACTCTTTTTAACTTATGTATATAAAATATTTTATTTAAATTAATGTCTTTACACCCACTGAATTGGGCAGAAGGAAATTATTGTCCACTCAAAAGGTACGTTACATATCACTTTCCATGGATGTTTACAAGCTCAGACACCATTGGAGGCTTCTCTGATTATTGTAAAATGTTAACTTAGGGCTTCAATTGCTAGGTTATTTTGTTATGATATGTCGTGTGCTATATAGATTGTTGCACTGAATGTTGCCCTGATTGGTTGTTATTGTCTTATGAAATTTTTTTTTGCAGGTTGTAGATCAGGCATAAGACTTGCCATCCTCTTACCTGGCTAATAACAGATGCCAGCAAGTTAACTGTGGAAAACAAGCGAATCCAGTTAATTTTTTCAGCGAGACTCCCATTGATGCTTTGTATGTTTGTATTTGTAAGCTGTGTATGCAGGCACATAGAAACAATTAAGATAGTTTAATTGCTATGAAATTAAATAGAAGAAAGAATTTCTAATCAAGTCTTCAATTGCATCCTCGATGTGCTTTATTTGGGTTTTCTGGGTCAACAAGTAGGTATAACCATCTTTAGTTTGTTGTCTTCCATTGTCACCCAGAGGCCCCATTCAATGAGGTTGCTGGGTAAGTTTAGAGAGATGTGGAGCTTTCTATCAGCTTGAGAAAATGAATAGCAACTAACGATAAATAATCCTCTAAAGGGAAGCTGGCAAAGTTGGTTCCATATCACTTTAGGTCTTATTCTACTACCAAATTGAAAATGAGAGATGCACCAAACTGCTCGATTTAATCAATGCAAGAAATATTTTATTTTTATTGTTATTCTTGTCAGGTTTTGAATTAAGGGTGACAAAATTGCATAAATTCTTTTCTGAAGTGAAACATTTTATAAATTATAACCAAGGAAATCCTTCTCTTAATTTTTCCCTTATCTGCCGTTGAGCCACAGCTGAATGTGTTGCTGTTCTTTAGCGGGCTTGGTACAAATCCAATTGTAAGCCAATGTTTATTTTTCCCATTTATATTTATTTATTTATTATATTATAAAATAACCTAAAGTAAAAAATAGTTATACTATTTATTTTACTATTTGAAATATTATTCATTCACTCACAAATTATTATTCATTTCACTATTCATGTCATTTTTTAACACTTTGGTCTTCAAATTTTTTAAATTTTTTCTTCAATTTCAAACTTCAATTATATTGTGATTTGACCTTTTTTTTTAGTGTTTTTTATTAATTATTTTTATTATTTAAAATTTACTATTTAGATTTATCATTTTTTAAATTCTCTCTTTTTTTATTTTAATTTTTAATTATTTTATTATTTAAAATGTACTACTTTAATTTATCATTTTTTTAAATTCTTTTTTTTCAATTTCAAACTTTAATTATATAGTGATTTTTATTAATTATTTTTATTATTTAAAATTTACTATTTAGATTTATCATTTTTTAAATTCTCTCTTTTTTTTTTCAATTTCAAAATTTAATTTGTTAATTATTTTTATTATTTAAAATGTACTACTTTAATTTGTCATTTTTTTAAATTCTTTTTTTTCAATTTCAAACATTAATTATATTGTGATTTGATCTCATTTTATTTTAGTGTTTTTTGTTAATTATTTTTATTGTTTAAAATTTACTATTTTAATTTATCATTATTTTTAAATTCTCATTCAATTAATTTAAAATTATATTTATTGACAGTTTTGATTTATTTTTCTATATGTATGGATTTTGGAATAAAGTTTTAGAACATGATTGTTTTTTCTTTTGAAAAATAGATTTAGATCATTTTTAAATTATAGTGACATGATTAACATATATAATTTGTATAAAATACATTTTTAGATTAAAAGTATATTTTAAATAATTTTTTCTCAGTTTTTTATATTATTTAAAATTTACTACATTAATTTATCATTTTTTTAAGTTCTCTCTTCTTTTTTTTCAATTTCAAACTTTGATTATATTGTGATTTCGTCCCATTTTGTTTTAGTGTTTTTTTAATTGTTTTTATTATTTAAAATTTACTACTTTAATTTATCATTTTTTTAAATTCTCATCTAATTAATTTAAAATTATATTTATATTTAGTGACTGTTTTGATTTATTTTTCTATATGTATGGATTTTGAAATAAATTTTTAGAACATGATTATTATTATTATTATTATTTAAATAGATTTACATACTTTTTAAATTATAGTGGCATGATTAATATATTTAATTTGTTTGAAATACACTTTTATATTAAAAACGTTTTTCAAATAATTTTTCTCTATTTTTTTATTATTTAAAATTTACTAAATTAATTTGTTAATTTTTTTTAAATTTCAAACATTGATTATATTATGATTTCGTCCCATTTTTTTTAGTTTTTTTGTTAATTATTTTTATTATTTAAAATTTACTAATTTATGTCATTTTTTAAAAATTCTCATTTAATTAATTTAAAATTATATTTACTAACGAGTTTTGATTTATTTTTCTATATGTATGGATTTGGGAATAAATTTTTAGAACATGATTATTTTTTCTTTTGAAAAATAGATTTAGATAACTTTTAAATTATAGTGGCATGATTAATATATATAATTTATCTAAAATACATTTCTAGATCAAAAGTGTATTTCAAATGATTTTTTCTCAATTTTTTAAGAAAAAACTCTAATTAATTAATTAATAGTTGAAAGTCAAATGTGAAAAAAAAAAAGATGGTTGCTCTGTGCATGAGGCCTATACTCGAAGGACTAGCTATGCATAATATAGAAATAAAAAAAAATGTTTGAGGAAAAAAAAAAAAGAATTCACATGTTTTGTTAATTTGTTTCTTCTTTATATAATCAAAATTATTTGAAATCAGATTTGTAATAATTTTTATTTTAGTCTATTAACTTCAAATTTAGTCAATATATTTCTTGCAAGTTAACTTTTTATAGTATTTTTTGTTTTAGATTAAAAACTATAAACTTGCTTAGTATAGTTATGATATGTAAAAAAATATTGAATCGTTGTTTTTTTAGAAATTAATAGTGCAACTACTACTAAACTAAGCATTTACTATTTATTTATTTATTTATTTTTGAATATTTTAAAATAAAATTATTTTAAATTAAATAATTAAAATAATATTTTGGCTTAACCACTCAATGATTCAAATTAATATAGTTTTTTATTTTAATATTATTCATTCTTTTGTAAATAAATATATAAAAATTAAGTTCACATTTTTTCAAAAACTTATATTCTCATCAACATTAAATTAAAAAAAATATTTGTTCAATAATATGTAAGCTTTTAATAATTTTTATTTATGTTTTTTGACATAATCTTATGAAATACTAAAAAATTTTTTAAAAAATTATTTAATTTTTTTTTAGTTAATGATCCATGGATTAACAAGGATGAATTCTCTTTCTAAAAGAAAAATTATGAAAAACACAACTAAGAAATAGTTAAATACAAAATTTTTGATTAAATAATTATATACACCTTTGATTTTATATATTTTTATAGATTCACATCATAAAGCGGACAATCAAACCGAAACAATTTTTCTAAACAATTTTATATATTTTATTCAAGCCGTAGCATAGCGCAAACAAAAAAAATAGTAAAAAAACTAAAAGAAGTGGGGTTATTCCTATTCATTCACTTAACCGTAGCTACACACTCAAAGTCCCTATTCATGTATATTTTTTTTTGTATCTTGGTATTTCATTTTTTGAGAGATAAATTAATTAGTCCATTTGGTTTAAAATTTTTTTTTTTTTTTTTGTC